CACATAATCCTCCACTAAATCTGACGAAGCCGGTCACGGTGAGCGATTTATGGACAGGCAGTAGGAAGCAAATCTGCGCTCTCCGGTTGCATAAGCTCGTCTGGTAGAAGGAGCCATTCCGGCTGCAAAAAGGTCATCGGGCGTGAAAGCAGACTTGGACTGATCCCCTGCAGAAACGGTTGGAAACGGCTTAGCAAGTCCGGTGGCTTGAGTCCTTCCGGCTGAGCAGTTGGAAGCAACTGTCTGAATCGGTGCTGCTGAAAACGAGAAAGCGCATCAGCTAGTTCATTTTTTACTCCGGGAATGTGCACTATCTTGACAGCAAAATTAAAATGTGACGTAACGAAATGAATGCGGCGCACCAACTCCATCACAGCAATGTTTCTACATTTACCACGCGACCATACTTCAACAGTACCCGTATTGTCGCTATGCACAACGATTCTTCGCGTACTCAATCGTTTCCCCCATACAACGCATGCTACGTAAACGGGGTAAAGCTCAAGAAACGTTATGGACACTCCTAACGTTAACAACCACCCTGGCCAAGAACCCTGAAACCACTCAGTTCCAAAAACGCCTGCATAACCGATAGAGCCCGCCGCATCAGTATATAAATGAAACGATTCTGCTTCCTGCCACACCGGTGTGAGAAAACTTGCCGTACCATTCCATAAGGGCAGAAACTCTTGCCACCAGTAAACGTCTTGCCGAAACTCAGTTGACAAGTTTATCGTGTGATGAAGCTTTACTGCAGTACAGCTCAGTTCAATCATGCGTCTGAGAAATATTCGACTTGCAGGAATGCACTTTGTAACAAATGACAAACAACCAACCAAACTCAATAGGTCTCTCTTCTGACACTGCTTCCGATCAGCAAATGACTGCAGTAATAACTTCAGCTCATCCATACGGCTGTCTGACACCGACAAGGTAAAGTTAACGCTGTCTAAAACTATGCCCAAAAATTCAATCCTTGTGTCTGGCCAAACTAACTTTTTAGTATTTACAGGAACGCCAAGGTAATTGCACACCGAAACACACTGCATAACACCCCTCCTGCAGCTATCACTTCCTGGCTTATCCACTTTAAAAAAGTCATCCAAATAATGTAAAAACGAACCATTGCCCGTACACTTACGAAAAATGTACTCTAACGCTGTAGCGAAAATGTCAAACAGACGCGGACCTGACCTCAAACCAAATGACACCACTGTATCAAAATAATAATTACTTTCCCAGAAATATCCTAACAGATGCCACTCGTCCGGTCTAACGGGCAAATTACGAAAAGCGCTATCAACATCAATTTTAGCCATCAGGGCGCCTCTCCCTGTGTGGATTATTAACTGAACTGCATCATCGATTCCTACATAAGCCATAGAGTACTTATCTTTCGGTATGAAGTCGTTCACGCTGAATCCAAAAGGCTGGGACAAATCCATGATGATACGATGACCAATGGGCTTCTTTGGTCGCAGGCCGAGAGCATTGGTTACAAAATCCGGATGCGGCGGCTCAATGAAAGGGCCAAGACAATGGTGCGCAGCTAGTTCTTTCTCTATCATGGCTGAAATGACGGATGGGTTTGCCAAAGACGATTGTGCATTAGAGGTAAACCGCCGGATCTGCGGGCCTTCGTAACCAATGCTAAAGCCGTAAGTAAAACCCTGCAAAAGGAAGTGCAAAGCATTAATATCCTGATACTCTACCAATAGCTCCGCCAATCTATCGACGTTGACTGGTGTTGTTATGCGCGGATCTGGTCCCGGACACAGTGCTCGCGCCGGCATTTGTGTTGCGTTGTCCACAATGCTCGAAAGAAGTGTGATCGGTAGCCCGGTACTCCCCGCACTGATGCTTGAAACGGCAGCTGGCTCCTTTTGTGCAATTCCCGTAACTCCAGTTCCTGCACACGTCTGGCGGGATGTGTCGAAAGGGCCGACCCGCCGTCGCCGTGTCAGCGCGACCAAGTGCAGGCAACTGAAGAGTCTTCGGGCACTCTTGCACAGTATGATCCGCCAATGGGCAGGTGTGGCATAGAGGAAGATGGGCACGATTAGGCAGACGGGCAGCACAACGGTCGAGCAGGCTGCGGTCTAATCTGCTCCAATCATCATGGTTTGTGGTATCACGGATCCGGTTGGCCCGAAAAGTCTTGTCATACTCAAGCCAAACGACTGTAGAATAGACACCAGCCAGCTCATTTACAATGGTCTGATAAGCATCCAGCGGGTCTCGTAGTCCAGGATAGTAAAACGACCGCACACGTCGAAACACTATAAACGCTTCATTCCATTGGTTCAGCGACGTGATGGTGACCTTTCGAGGCTTTGAATCGGATAACACGTAACTTCCATCCTTGATCTCAATCTTTGCTTCTCCTTGAATGGGAGACATGATACTATTTGCCCGCAGCAGTTTGTCAAGATCCACATTAACCGTCAGGTCATACAACTCTTCAAGGCATTTATCATTCACAAAGGCGAAGCTGGCTGGCAATGGCGGAGGTTTCTTGGCCTGTGCTCTCATAGCATTCGCTGATCCAGACAGTTCTGGCTCCATAACCTTCTAGGTTAACTGCATCAGCTGGTTCTGCTGATTCAACATCAACTGCATCAGCAGATTTGCGTCAATCTGCGACGATATCTGAGAAACGGTAGCGGGTGGTAACATCACCACATCTGGCTCTGAACGGGTCACCGCATCTCTACGGGCGATCAATTCTTTAAGGTTTCGCTGGGCCGCGGCAATCTCGTCTTCAACGCTCCCTGTCGAAGGCACCGATGATGCAGGCGATTTCTGAACTGGGCTGCCACGTGCAGCAGGCTGAACTGCCAAAGGAGCCTCCACAATCTCCGCCGGATTACCCGCATCTCTGGAACGTGTTAGTCGCTTGGTACGTGGCACCGCAGCCCTTCGCGCCGCTCGCTTTGGCGGCATTTGCACAAAATCTTCAGCAAACACACAAGTAAAGAAAACACACCAAAGGTCACTCACAAATATTGCAGGTGAAAAACAGAAAAGTAATTTACCGCACAAAATCTTCAGCAACAAGAAAATAAACCACAACTATCAGACGCAACAAAAACGACTTCAGAATGCAACTATGCTATAAAGAGCGATATGTGCACAACAGCGCGATGAACAAAGGCAAGATGGCGTCCGGCAAAAGGTCAGCCAATCACTTGCGCTGGGAATGGCTTTGCGGATATTTCAGGAACTTCCTAGAGAGTCAGCGTTTCTCTCAACTGCGTTAACCAAAGTTAGCGATAAAATCGCTAACTTCTATTAATGTCTAATCGATTATAACCAGCTCATGAGCCTAATCACTCATGTATCCTTAATTGTCACGTAACCAGATACAGTGCATTACTGTGTGTCGGCAATCTTGTGCTTCTTGTGTAATCTACATTTCTACATTTAGCAATCTGGTGTAACCGTGATTTTCATTTATTGTAGTAACTCTTTTAATGTCCCATGTGAAAAACCGTTAATGCACTTCTGTCACTACAACGTTTACTAAGGAAAAACGCTTAATTTTTATTTCCACCATGACATCTGTACTCCCGACAACTGTGCCGTCGCCACACAGTTGCATCAACACGCTCATATTCGCATGCAGCCACAAAGCTATAAAAACAACGCACCACTCCCATCACTGTGTTTCCCATTAGTCACATCTGCAGGCCACATTCATCCTGCCTCCTCATCATTCCCACTTGACCAGCGGTCAGCGATCTTACACAGATAAGGAACAATACGATAAAACATAAATGTCTTCACATACATATGGCCATAAATATCTTCACACAGATATGGTCCTAATTATACTCGTACTAACGTGTCCACGGTCATAACTTTCCATGGTCGTAACACATGTTGATCTGCTAGTTACCTAGTGTTTCGTTTTGAGTCGGTTGTGTTACTATTCCTAAATCGTACTTGTACTGTCGAGTGTTAAATCAAGTAACGGAAATATCTGTTAGAACTTAGACATAGGCTTTCGCAGTTCTAGGATATTTGAAAGTTGAAACTAGCTATTTTGCGGAGCAGGTTTTTTTATTTTCCACCACACTTCGTGCCGGTCCATTGACATCAGATTGAACCAAATTTGCGCAGTCGAAACAAAGAACAGCAGCTGAATTTCCTAAGACAGGGCAAGACAGGCTCTGGATGGCCCGGCTGTTTGATATACAGAACATGCGCCTGCAACAGTCCAAGGCGAAACACAGTTCTGCATGGGGACAACAAAAATATACCGACAGGGGAAATTCACCTTACATGGTGCGTGTAATCCGCGAGTAATAGAATCTTAATTCCGATCGGTAAAAATCTCCTCTAGTTCGTTTCGCTATCCGGTCGCGGGACCGTTATCAACGGTCCGGAGGATGATAGATCGTACACTGCTTGAAGCCTCATACCGCAAAACCCAAATATTGAAAGAACCAACGATAAGATCACTTTACAGATTTCCCATACACCGTGCAAAAACAAGCCGTATTCACTGTTCTACAGTCTACAGAAAGTCTCATTTTCTGTTTTTATTATAGTGTAGGTACTGCTACAAGGAACTGTGCAGAACCAACGCAAATTTAGTCGGGTGGCTTATGAGCGCAAATATGCTACCAATGTACAAAAAAATGCTGCGCTAAATCTTTCATTCGGACTCTGCCTAGGAAGCAAACAAGCTGGGAAGAAACGCGCGGATGCTCAAACAAATGATTACAGTTGCTTTATCAGTGGCTATCAGGTGTTTGGAGCAAAAGTTGAGGTAAAATTGCATCAAAATCAGACCAGATGTCATGCACAGGAAGAGCAGCAGTTGCAGCACTGCAGGCGGTTAGTCATGCGCAGTATTTCACACCAGTTCATCTAGCACGCAGTCACAAAAGCGAGCACTTCAAGCACCTGCCTCCCATTAGATTATCGATCCAAGGAACCCTTGCACAGCACCGCATGCGCTATTCCACTCATGCTAACAAGTGGTATCCAGTATTCATTTCGGCCGACAGACAGCCATAATTTTAGCCCCCAGAATGTTAACAAGAGGAAAAAGTTTTTTATCGAATAAATAATAATGCTGCCAATCACGCCAAATATTATGCTGCAAAAGCTGTATTACTCGCGGGCGCGTTCATACGATACATTTACAGTAGACGTGATGCGAGGCGGCGTGGTACAGCGAGGATATGTTACTGATATTGCTGAGGAAGGACTCATCATCGACTTCCATCATTATGGCCCATCGGCAACAGAACTGGTGGAATTCTCCTGTATCCGCACACTGCCAACTAAAAAGTTGGCCGCCTACCGTTACCTTAAACTATTCGAAGTGAACTCCGAGGTGGAGGTACTAGTTCGAAGCGCAGTGTAAGCCACTGGAACGTTTACCATTCTGTTTTACGTATAATCGCGATTCTGGGCATTTCTGGAATAAATTTTGGGTTTGACCGTATAATAATGGTTGTAATTTCCACTGACAGAGACCAACCTCTGACCTGGAGAAAAGCCACCTTCGTGGCACTTGTGCCTGAATATGGTACCAAGCGAGCTTCCGAAGAGGGTGAACAATATTTTTTGGTCCGACTGCAATCCAGAAATCCTTTCTCTTTGGCCGCTGTTGCTAATCTTTGGCCGCCAATCGTAGCCAGCGATATCCGTATCCGCCAGAAGCGACTCTGGCAAACAGTCGCACCAAAGACTTTCTTCAAGGTGACCGTGCCGCATGCTTTATGCCGCAAGACTGATTGTCCGTTTCCACAGTCTCCCCTTCTGTATTATATAAAGAACCTGGACGTTGATATGAAGTTAGCCTGGCTGAATACGACGGGCACGCTTATTGTGTCCGCTGACGATGGCAGTGTCACCGTGCTTTGCCGCAAGAAATCTAAACGACTACCATTCAAATTCCATCGTTTGATTTTTCACTTATACGACGAGATTGTGGAGCAGTATTTTAGAAAAGGTTTGGCTTGCTTCTGAGTACCTCTTAGGAGGCAGCTAGGCATTTTTGCAGGCAAGTAAGTGTAAAATATTTATGTAGAAGCGCTGTACTCGTCGTAACTCTTAAGAGTAAAGCATACTACGAGTACATTGTCGACTACCCTGTACAAATAACTTTCAATAAGGTGACTATCTTTTTATTTTCTATGCGAGAAATTGTTGAGAAATGCCTGAGCACTTACATATCATTCATAATTTTCGGAAAGTTGCCCTCGTGTATACACAAAGGGCTTATTAAGACTTTATCTCGACAGGGGATACCACTCGTATGGAGACATGGTTCACAACAACTATCGAAAAATTACTGCTCTTTCCCAAATGGTTGGCTGCAATATCAGGTAAGTGATGTTAGTTAGCATTCATAAAACATCATTCTTCCCAATCAGTTTTTGGACGTACTCAGTAATAAAAAAATCCGCGTACCGTACACAGTTTTCAGTAGATTTTACTACTGACTACTGAGTAATAGATTTGCTACTGAGTAATCCTTTTTCTGATTGCAAAGTTAAGGTACGAAGGATTTTAGCTGTTTTAACTGCAAACGCTTTCTTCTTTTTTGCACATTTGAAAAGCTGCAGAGCCACAAAAAAGAAAATGTAACGTGCACCTGTAAGTGCCGTAAAGATGCGCTGCGCGATGGATATCACCATGTGACAGGTTGCGGTAGTCGTCACCGCAAAAATAGAATGTTGAGTAAAACTGCTGCAATACAGTTTTACAGCATGCAGGTACTTTGCAGGTGCCTTGCTTTCTAAAGGCATAGCTCAGGATCTGAAGGCGTTTCCCAAATTACAGACTCTTCCGGATATACTGCTGCTCGAGACGTTACAAAGTATGGACAGGATATCCCAGAGGGATTTGAAGTGGTAAGGCAAAGTCATCCGTCACTACCTTGTTCAAGAATCTCGTGTTCAAAAAGGCACTTCGGCTTACAATAACACCTTGCGGTTGCATTTTGTAAATCAGATTGTGATTCAAACTTAAAGCTGGGGATAATGGCAATACAGCATAATAACAAATCAAATCAATCATAACAAATCAATTTTGTCACTAGTCACTACTGTCCACATTAGAGAATGCGCCATTTGTCTTCTCATTCGGTATGGTTGCATTACAGTTCTCTGTTCTCACTGCAGAAACCCAACTGAATTCGCACAATTTTGTATTGGCAATAATACATAATTGTGCGAATTACAATTATGTATTGGCAATAATTTTCACATTGCAGCGTTTGTCGGAGATGGTACAGACTGCAGTCAAGCGCGACGACGGAGAAATGTCTGACTCTGGAAGCTCCGGATGTCAAACATAATCACCCATTATACTTGGCGAAAGCACTACTTAACTACACCTTTACATCGACACGAAGCCTGCTACTGATGCAGTTTTCTCCCAGCCACAGCTACACGGTTATGCGATTAATAAAAGAAATGCAGTTGCAGTTAGAGTTTTATGCGTCTTATCGAAGTACAGATACAGTACATCATCGCAGTGTAGTTTCTGACCTTGAGGACGAGCTGGCGATGTATCCCGCAGTCAACAATCTCCACATTTCCTGCGTCATGAAATCGAAAAACGCCAACCAACTTACATTGGGTACGAGTCAATACGAATGTACGATAACCGAATATTCTTTCACATAATAAAGTGGTCAATGTATGCCATAAATGCCTCTTTACATCTGTCATTAATTTTATTCTTAACGGTTCTCGTAGAGATCATCATGGCAGCGCCGGAAGAAATGAAATGTCTGCTAAACCATTTAGGCGTTGACTGGACGTACTGCTGCACAACCAAAATAATGAAGGACACTGTTACGGGAATTTCACGTGTGTTAGATGCGCTGAATCTCCGCTGTTCTGTACACGGCAACCTATCCGATGCCGTGGAGTGTCCAAACCATTGGCAGTGGAAAGGAGGAGAACGATTGAAGAACGATCTGCAACGCTGGCCTGTAAGCTCCGCAGCGTTCGATGCCCTAACGAAGGGATTTGAGCATTACTGTCCACCGAGCAGGACGCTTTCCTATTGTGAGATAACGGCGTTCCGCCCAGAAATTTTAAAGGTGTTGATCCGGAAGCCCCGCTTGATTGGAGAAGAATACTTCGATTCTTGCGGCGTTGAGAGTTGGCTTCGATTTTCTTGACTTCCTAACCTGATATCAATCTTCCAAATAATTACAGTTAAACTCATCATTTGAATGTTTGATTGGACAACATGGACTTTTATAGTATTTCATTCCTAATTTTAGGATTACGTGTTTGTGTGCATATAAATAATGCATTTATGTACAGTAGTTATATACAGTAATCAGACAATAATAGCACCTCTTTCACACAACCTCTTTCACATGATACTTATGTCTTATGTAGAACGAAGTTATACATAAGTTATACACTATTACTGTATATTCGTAGTATCTTTTTTGCTAGTTAAGATTTACGGTGTAGCATGCACAGCCTCAGCACTGATAATCAATACTTCGTAAGTAGTCGTACAGATTGGTCCATCACAATTGTGATGTACAAAATTGCAAGCTACCAAACCAAATGCACAACACGCTTTGATGCAGTTCAGTTATCGATCCAATATTCCTTGAACACTATCAAATGCACTACTTCTATTCAGTAGCCCACTCTTGCTCAAACTGCACTTAACCCGATCGGCAGACGTATAATATCAGCATCTAGGAACTCTTGCACGTGAAAGAAATCATTATCTAATAATGCAGGCAAAATCATCGAAGATTTTGCTGAATGAGCTATACTACTCGCGACAATATGTTAAATTTACAGTGGACGGGATGCGAGACGGCGCGATAGAACGGGGGTATATTACGGATATTGCTAGCGAAGGACTGATCATCGACTTCCATCATGACGGCCCATCGTCAACGCAACTGGTTGAATTACCCTGTATTCGTGCATTACCAGCCAAAAAGTTTGCCGGCAAACGTTATCTTAAACCACCACCCCAGATAAACTCCGAGGTGGAGGTACTAGTTCGAGTCACAGTGTAAGTCGCTGGGGTTTTATCGTTACTGTAATTAACACATGCATCGCGAGTATGGTGATATAATAGTGGTTGCAATTTTACTCATAGAGATAAACCTCTGACTTGGAAAAAGCTACCTTCGTGGCACTGCTGCCTGGCTATGAGAACAATGAAGTCCAATGTGAAGGTGAAAAATTTTCCTTGGTCCGAATGCAAGCCAGGAATCCATTCTCTTTGGCCGCTGTAATAAATCTGTGGCCCGAATGGGATGCCAGCGATATACGCATCCGTCAGAAGCGATTGTGGAAAACGGTTACAGCGGAGACTTTCCACAAAGTAACCGTGTTGTACGCATCATATTCATGCCATAAGGTCGATTGCCCGTTCCCACGGTCTCCTCTTCTGGATTACGCGAAACAGATGGACAGCTTGGACGCCGGCATGAAGTGGGTCTGGCTTAATCTGACAGGCACGCTGATTATATCCGCTGACGATGTCAGTGTCACCGTACTGTGCCGTCAGAAAGCTAAACGACTACCAAATAAATTCCATCGATTGGTTTTTCACTTATACGACCTGTTTATGGAGCAATATATTAAAACAGGTATGGCGGGACGTTCAGTTTTTCTGTACAGGCATTAGGCAATGACGTATTGCTGCAGGCAATTACTGTACAATACACAGAAATGATAGAATCATTAAACCATTGAAGTGCTGCTCACCTGCTTAAACAATTCTTGTTAACACCCATACTGTACAAGATAGCCTTATATCGATTTGTTTTCTTGAGAATAGGGGGCACCTTTCGGATCGAGACATGGTTTGCTAAAACATTCCGAAAACTACTCTTCTTCCCCAATTGGTTGGCCTCAAAGGCGAACGCTGCCGGTACGTAAAATTTACCCATTGGTACTTTTACCGCGTGACTGGTAGCATGTCAGCTGATAAACGGAGTGAATGACAGAGTGCGCAAGGAGTCAGTGATGCTTCAGTGAAAAGTGGTAAAAGTAAGCGCTACCAAAAGAACAGCAAAACCAGGAATACTGATGCAGTACACAATGACCACACACGTAAGTTGCAGGTGCCGTGGTCTCTGCGCGCATATCTCAGGGCCTCGGGGAGTTTCCAGCAGTGCAGACTCTTTCGGATGAAATGCTGCTGGAGGTATTACAGAGTATGGACAGAATTGCCCGGAGGGATCTGAAACGGTAAGCCCAAAGCCATCGGTCAATGGCGTGCTTGGTTCAACTGCCTTAAGAATCAGGTGTTGCAACGTTCTTTGGTACTTCAACGTTCATTATCATCTGGCGGTTGCTTTTTGTTTGTTTAGATTTTACATAATTATTATCATTTTACATATTTTACGTATTATCATGCTTCCCGCTACCTGCCCTGCGGTCAAATTTCTACGAGTAGTCTAATGGCTGGCTATAGTATCATAATATGCGTATGTAACAGTCAAAACCGTCCAGACGGATCATCCGTCTACTGATCGCTTTTGCCTTTCCGCTGGCAAACCGCTCGACGGTCATACAAATTTTTGTAAAATTTATCCGTGTAAATTTTATCCGTTTCTTTCACACTTTTCGAAATTGGAAATCCCAAGATCAGAAATTTTACCTGGATTATTTGCCGGAGTGCATGCTGGTGGATAACCAGCTTTGTCCAAATGGACATTTGGGGAGGGGTAGTTTCTCCTGTTTGGATGTAATCAGAAGACAGTAATGTTTCCTTATGCGGACTGTATTTCCGAGGTGGATTTTATAACCCGACGGGTTTTTCCGGGAACAGAATAAGTACGTTTAAAAAGAGACCAGCAAAGCCTGTCGTTCTACATGTAATCAAACACTCTAGCATCACCGTCCGTGCCCAAATAACCATTCCGGCAAAATACATGTACGCATAAACCAGGGAAATTCCCGGGTTTACATGTACATGTGGAAATTCCTGACCTGGGTGTTCACAATTCCGAAAGTGGGAAAAAGCTTGTGTGGGTAAAATTTTACGTTGGTTTGTTGATCACCGGACGGTTCTTCCGGCCACATACGCTAATTTGTTGTCTACAATTTGCTCATTGCAGTGTGTGTCGGAGATGGTCTAGAATTCACTCAATGGCCACGGCAGAGAGGTGTGTAATTCTGTATTCCCCGGGCCGCCGGCGTGATCACCTCGTGTACCTGGTGAATGCAGTGCTACAGTACACCGCTGTATCGACACGAAGCCTGCTAATGAGGCACTCTTGTCCTAGCCACAGCTCCACAACCCTTCGATTAATAAAAGAAATGCAGTTACAGTTAGAGCTTTATGTGTCTTACCGCAGCAGTGTGCCTTATAGCAGTCAACTCAACGACCTTCGGAGCGAGTTGATGTTGTATCCCACAGTCAACAATCTTAACATTTCCTGCTCCATGAAATCGAAAAGCGCCGAACGACTTACGTTAGGTACATTTTACTAGATTAGTATACTTTGATTTGATTTATATTCGAATAGCCAAGCCCGTAAATTGGCGAATACATAAAGCGAACATATTACAACTATGCTGATCAATCTACAGAGTACAGTGTATGCGTTGAGAGCACACATACTTCTAACTGATGTTGACCGGTTGTCACAGAAATGATCATCGCAGCGCCGGACGACATAAAATGGCTTTTGAGCATTCTGGGCCCCGGGTGGACGTACTGCTGCACAACTCAAACCATGAGCGATACACTTAAGGGAATTTCATGTGTGGTGGAAGCGCTGAATTGCCGCTGCTTAATGCACGGCAAGCTGTCTGGAGCCGTGGATAGCTGTGACTTTTGGCAGCTGGACGAGGATTTATTAAGAGACGGTCTGCAATGTTGGCCTATCACTACAGCAACGGTGGGAGCTTTATCGAAGGGATTTGAGGACTACTGCCCATCCGGTGACACAGATTCGTATTGCTCGTTAACGAAATTCCACCCAGACATCCTGAAAGTGGTGATCCGCAAACCCTGCATGTTGCAAGAAGATTATTTCATTTCCAGCGGCGTTCATAGTTGGTTTCGATTTACTTAACTTTCTAACTTCATAGCTTTCACATAAAGATTTACTTTAAAACTTGAGTGTTGATCGGTGTATAGGAGCTTTCATGGTGTCCTGTACTAGGCAGTTCTACGCCGAGCGTTCGCCACAATAATACAGGTTGCATCACGGAAGCAGCTTAACAAAAGCTGAATACAGTGTCTGGAAAATTGTTTTAATGACAACATTTCCTTGCTTTTAGTCTTGTTCAAATCATGACGCTAAGCACTTTCTCACTCTTAACCAGCCGTTACTCGCGTATTGATGACTGCGTGTCTGCCGAACTCGCACACAGCAGTCAGCAGCTATTGGTTTCCAGGGGAAATATTCTCTCAAGTGGCCCGACGTGGCTGCGCGGTGAGCAATATTACTGGAATGAAGGAGAGTGGAGTCCGTTCGAACACAACATTTATTGATGACAACTGCGCTTCTGACTGGCCTACCTGAAGATCTCGATTGCGCATTAATTTAGTGCAAGAAAGCATTTTGGAACTACAGAATGCACGAGTTAAGCATTTGTGTACTTACGCATTTGTGTACTTACGCTGTTGTAGTTACGCATAAACACAGACCACAGTAAAATTGCTTTTTATCAGTGGAAGCTGTTAACGATGCCTAACGTACCTAGCCTCTGCCATTTCTGCCCATGCCGCCAGACACGTGTCATGGCACGAAAAACACCTAGTCGGCGTTATATGCCTATAAGAATATAATTATACTGCCTGTGAAAACATCAAACGTTGTATATGCATATGGCCAACTTTTATGATAAGATCCTTAAGTTAAAATGTCTGATTTTATGATAAGATCCTTAAGACTCACAACCTTTTGTTAATGAAAAAATCTTTGCTGATTCGTTGGTTCGTCTGCCCCATTGAGGATCATTTTTACATTCTGCAATGTAAAAATTGTTGTGCCTACGGGCACACAGTGTCGAAATGCAAGAGCGCCCCGCGCTGTGCATACTGTGCTAAACCGCATGCGGCTGCTGATTGTACCGAGGCTGACGATTTTGTTGGTACTTGTGTGAATTGTACTGACAAAGGCATTAAATTGCCGCATAATCAGCACTGGGCATTTGATTACTCATTGTGTCACTCTTATAACGAAATTCGAAATACGCGGTACTTTTATAATAAAAACCTGCCAAAAAACCGGTAAATTTTAACGATAATTTGTCAGTTACCAAAACGAAATCTTTGAGTACTTGTGTGTCGGGTAAACAAAATCGTGGTTACTTGCGCGTGCGTTTCTGTAATATCAACAGTGTTTTTAATAAAAGTGCACAAGTCAGGATGTTTTGCTCCGAATCCGACGTAACCGGTCTTGTTGAAACGTGGGACAAAGATCACTATACTGATTCTCTCTTCGCTGATCAGCGCTCTTTTGATGTCTTTAGAAAAGCACGGGTTTATGACTCTGGTGGAGGTGTTGCTCTCGCTATCCGCTCACGCTATAAAGCGCACAGGCGCAGTGATTTAGAGCATCCACAGCTTGAAACTATTTGTGTCGAATCTGCTGACCTAAATAAATTCTTCATTGTTTACTACTCACCGCCTAACAAATCTTACTCTGACATTCTGCTGCTAATTGAACACCTGCATGACAAATTCTCTCCAGCTATGCTTAGTAGAACTGTTCTCGTCGGCGATTTTAACTTGCCAGACATTAACTGGCAGCTCCGTTCCGCACGATCGAATGCCGGTAAACATCTTTTATCTTCTCTGAAACTGTTCAATTTCCAGCAATTAATTACTTTCCCCACTAGGAAACGCAACTGTCTTGATCTGTGCTTTGTCTCTACCCAGCAGTTGTGTTCTAACATTATTCCTGTTGCACCTCCCTCAACATCGAACTATCATATCGGCCTCCAGTTTGATTTGAAAGTCAAGAAGTGCAAAGGTCAAATACGTAAAATAAAAAAATGGTTTATTGATCCCAGTAATGTGACCACTTTTCGTGAAAATCTGAGTAACATTGACTGGAGCAGTGAATTCAGAAATGTCAATGCTGAAGAGCGGGCGCATATTTTTGAAAGGAAATTTCTTGATGTTGCTAACTCAGCATTTACATTTAAAGAAATCAGTATAAAAAATGGCGTTACTCGTTATCCTTATGCCATAAAAAAAATGTTACGCGCGCGCGATAAATCTTTTAAACTGTATCGTTGTTCAGTTTTCCCGTCAGTGCGCTCCGTTCGAAAAGAAAAGTGGTTGCAATTGTCAAAAATCGCAGAAACGGCTTTGAATAAATTTGAAGCACATCGGATTGTAGAAGTCGCAAGCAGGTACCGCAACAATCCAGGTAAATTCTGGCGTTTCATGAAATCTAGAAACAGCATACAGTCTATTCCTCCGCTCAAGAAAACAGATGGATCTTTTGCGAACAGTGATATCGAAAAAGCCGAAACCCTTAATGAACAGTACTGCGCTTCTCATTCAGTGTGTCCAAAACATTGTGATAGCACTGCTTCGGACATAGTGTGCAATAATTTATCAACTACTGAAATTGATGAGAGTTGAATTCTTTTGCAACTTGCTTCTATTTCCACAAACACATCCAGTGGAAAATTTGAAATAACAAACAAATTACTGAAAACTGCAGGTCAATCGATTGCGCGCCCTCTTAAATTAATTTTCGATGCCGCTTTAAAAGAAGGTGTGTACCCTGAAGCATGGAAAGTTGCATACGTTGTTCCCATCCCCAAAAAAGGCTGTGACTTAACTCTTTCTGGTAGTCACCGTCCAATTTCAATGCTGAATCCGATTTCTAAAATTTTCGAGCGTTGTCTGTCGGAAATAATACGAGATCATTTACAAAAAAATTGTGCATTAGGTAATCATCAGTTTGCTTATCGTCGCAACAGGTCTACTGAACTGGAAATTTTTTATTTTGTGAAAACAGTGTCTGATTTTATTGATAACGGAATTGAAGTTGCCGCCATTTTTCTTGATTGTTCTAAAGCCTTTGGCAAATGTGATCACCAAAGTCTTATTACCTCACTTATAAATCTGAATATTTCCAGCACGGTGGTCCATTTAATCTTTGATTATTTGAAGAATCGAAAGCAGTGCGTTTCTGTTGGCGAATATTTTTCGATAATTTTGAAAGTAACAAGTGGTGTGCCACAAGGGTCGAATTTAGGGCCGCTGTTGTTTATTTGTCTTTTAAACGAAGTGCCCTTTATACTAATTAATGGCAGTATTGTCCTGATTTTCGCCGATGACATCGTTTTGCTACGCCCGTTAACTGCTATTGACAGCTGTGAACTTCTTCAGGTTGATCTTAATTGTTTGTCCAAATGGGCATCATCTAAAGGCCTTGTGTTTAACGCTGATAAATCAGTTTACGTGCATTTTTCAAAAAAGCGGTCTCTAAGTTACAAAACTGACTTTTTTCTTAATGATAAGCTTATTCCGTTTTGCGAGAAAGTAAAGCATTTGGGCGTCGAAATCGACCGTGAGCTATCGTTTAAATTTCATGCTGATAGTCTTGCTATGAAGTGCAAAAAAAGAATTTGGTACATTAACTCCTTGTTTCGTTTCCGCGACTCTGGAGCGCGCATGATGCTATTCAAATCGCTTGTTTTTCCCCTTTTGGATTATTTTGGCCGGCTGTTTTTCCATTGCATAAAAAGTGCAAAGATAAAGTAGAGCATTGCATTGAGAAATTTGTTGCATCCATTCGTCTTGGTAACGATACTTCCGACTATCGTCTCCGTTTGAAAGAACTTAAATGGGACAGTTACAGAATAAGAACAGCGAAAAAACTTTTGATTTTTGTTTATAAATTGGTATTTAGTCTAATTCCTTTAGGCGACAAATTTCTTTCAAAACAAACTGTGTCTGCCGCCTTGTCTGAATCTGTTTCAGGAAACACCCGCGGTCTCCGTCGCCTTGAACGCCATTATCTCCCCCTCTGTCCAGCACCTACGACTGCATGTGGCATAACCGCTATTCCTGTTGCCGGCTCCTTCAGTGAAAAACTGACTTCTTTATGGAACGAAGTATCCCTCCCCTCTGCCTCATACAAGTCTGTCGGAACTTTTCGCAACTTTTTAGAAAATATTAAATGGGAAGATCTAAATTGGTCCAAAAAGTTCTTACACTTGTGAACTGCTTTATTTGCAATATACAACTCTACCATGTTTTAGCTTTTGTTTTTATTATTATTGTTCTTTTAAGCTGTATCTTTTTCCTTCTGTCATGTTCAGTTCTCACTTCGCTTGTTACTGTTGTTGTTAATCCATCATGCATTCCATGTGTGTAACTTGTTGTTTGTCCACTGCTGTTAAGGGGTATGACCCCGTTGCACGAAGACATTAAATTCATCATTATTATTATAAAAAAAAGAGGAAATTAGACCAAAATTTATGTAGCAATAATTGCAAAATTTTTTAGTCTGCTCAGCCAATCAGTCATAAACCGGCTTATTCCAATTCCTTTATATAAGTTTCGTGCTGGCTGGCGGGCTAAATTTAGCTCTGTCTAGCCAGCAATAGTTCCTTCGTTCTTTTATTTTCAAACTATCGTAAAACAACTTTTTTGGTACCGAAATGATCCTTAAATTTTTCTGTATGTTCTAAGTGTAAGGTTGTGTGAATACAGTTATTACTGCAGCCATGCGGGCCAAAAAATCGTCTCCGCTAGGAACTGTTGTTTATCATCATTTAAATGTTCAACGCCTGAATAATGAGAAAGCCGATGTGCTGCAGCAAATTCTGTCTTGTGACGATAATTTAGTTAAATTTTTTTGTTTAACTGAAACCCATTTGTCCGAGAATGATCCCTCTCAGTTGTATGAAGTTCCAAATTATACGTTAATTAGAAAGGATCGCTCTCCAAACTATCGTAAGCGCAGTGGTGGTGGCATTCTTGTTTACCTTCCCTCCCATATTCCTTATTCCATTGTTGATGTATCCTCGGAAAATGCGGATGTGGAAAGTTTGTGGTTGTCCGTCCGAGTGGGTAAAAAAGAAGTTTTGCTAGGAACAGTTTATGGGGCTCCTGATACCAACGCACACAACACGGAAAGTTTATTTGATCACATCCGTGAAGTTCTCTGTAAGTTTCCTAGCAGTGACTATGTGATTACAGGGGATTTGAATATTAACACCAATGACGCGAGTTCCCCGTTCCATCGCTATTATACTGATCTGTGCAGTGAATTTGATCTCAGTGACATGGTTGTTGGAAATACTCGTATCTCCAGTCGTCGTAAGAAGTCGGAAAATTCGTCCTATTTTACTTGCTCAAAAATTGACGTGATGTTGTGCCATCCATCAGCAAATTACAGCAGCAGCCTTGCCAAAGACATCGATATTTCAGACCACCGATTATGCAGAACCGTTGCGAGCTACAAGTGTGTTGTCCCCCGCCACAAGACGATATCGTATCGCCTATGGAAGCATACCACCGAAGCAGATTTTGCAGCAAAGTTGAAATGCTTTGCCATGCGGGATGAATTTCAGGATGAGAACGTGGATGTGAATACGCAGGTGGAAAATTTTGTTCGTGGCGTCTCCGACTTAATCGATGAATGTTTCCCAGTTCGTACGAAGCGAGTGAAGCAGAGCGAAGCGCCTTGGATAACACAGAGCATTCGTACCGCTATCCGAGGAAAGAACGAAGCATATCAGCGACGATGTGCGGCCAGAAATACAAATGAATATCCCATGTTCCACCGGGAGTTTTGCAGACTGCGGAGCGAGGTGCGATACCTGATCGGAGTGGCAAAGCAACGTTATTTTACTGAAAATCAAAGAAAAACTTCCGTGTTATGGAAAGAAGTGGGAAGAATATTGCGGAAAACAAAAGATCATGTTGATTGCGAAGTTCCGCTTGACACGCTAAACCAGCATTTTGCTGCGATGGGACAGCACGGATTCCCGCATGCCGCACCAGCGCCCCCCGTCGGGGGCGACGGAATTAACAGTTTGTTTTGTAGGTTCAGCACTGTCAAACCAGACGTGATAATGTCAATACTGCAGCAAATGAAAGAGAAAAAGAAAGCATCGGGGCCGCTTGGAATACCAGCTGGTCTACTCGGTGGGATCTCATCAATCCTTGTCCCTCCGTTGACCCATATGGTGAACAAGTCGCTACGCACGGGTGTCTTTCCTTCGGTGTTCAAATGTGCGGACGTTTATCCGCTTCCAAAAGTGCCCAACGCCCGATGTGCGGACGATTTCCGACCGATATCATTGCTATGCAATATATCTAAAGTCTTCGAGCGATGCGTACAGATCCAATTGCTTGACTTCCTGCAGGCGAATAATATTTTGTCACCCAGACAATCAGGCTTTCGGAAAGGCCACTCATGTGAAACGCTGCTAACGAAAGTGACAGATGCGTGGGTACAAGCAATGGATCAGGGAGATGTCACCGCGGTTGCATTCCTCGACTTAAAAAAAGCGTTCGATTCGGTCAATCACGAACGGCTGTTGGTCAAGTTAAAAGAAAATGGTATTAGTGGCCAAGCTCTAAACTGGTTTTATTCTTATCTCACCGGCCGCCGGCAGCGCGTGAAAACGCAGAAATACTCTTCCGATTGGCTACCTGTAATTTCCGGCGTTCCGCAAGGCACAGTACTGGGCCCGTTGCTCTTTATCTTGTACATCAACGACTTGCTGCTGTACAGGAATTTCGAGATCGAAGCATTCGCGGATGATACCATTGCTCACTGCCGTGCGAAGACGAAAGCAGCAGCTGCTAAGAAGCTCAATGATGCGCTGGAGACTGCAGCTAAGTGGTTCGAAGAAAACAGACTGGCAGTGAATGTGAAAAAGTGCGCGGCTATGTTTATTTGCACCGAACAGAAGTACCGGAAAGAAATCGACCCGCCGGTGACGTTGAACGGTCAGACATTGACTATAAAGCAGCATACAACGTACTTGGGCGTCGAAGTGGACCACAATCTGAAATGGACTAAACAGTATGTGAAAGTGAAGCGAAACATCAACTACGGCATTAAAAAGATCAAGCGTGTACAGTCCGGGCTCAGCATCCCCCAGCGAGTAACCCTTCACCACGCTTTTGTCCAGCCATACATAGATTACTGTGCATTGGCCTGGTCAGCAGCGTCTTTGGGAGAGCGGGAGAAGTTGATGAAGCGACAGCACGCCGCCCTACGGACCATCACCGATGATACGGTTCGGGTAACACCGCAACTGTACGAGCAGCTGGGCATAGTTCCAGCAGTCGAGCGATGGCGCCAGAAGGAAGCAGTGTGGCTGTATAAGATCCGAAACCGCGACAGTTTTGACGTGCCAGCATACATGTGTGACCTTGTTCCATTCAAGGACATTAGCCTGAGGTATGACTTCCGCCGGAAAGAACGTCTGGATATACCTGCGGCAAAGCTACGAATTGGAAAGACAACCCTTGCGATGAGGCTGAAAGATTTGTTTGACAAAGTAGTGGGAAGCGGAAATGAGTTGTTTGGTTGTGGATCTGTTAAGACTTTTCTGTTCTTGTTGAAATCGAAAAATTTCTTGTAGCTCTTAATTTTTTTGTTTTTGTCCAAGTATTGTAGTGACCAGACCAGAAAGTGCCTCGAGGGTTTGTCTGCTCAATGAATAAACTAAATAAACTAAACTAACATTGTACCTTTTAAAATGATCAAGATAACCCGTGCAAAAATTTTACGAAACTTTAGCAGCAGCGCCAAAAGTGATACAACATAGCCCAGGATAGTAATTGTTTTGAATGACACTGCATGTCAGACATGCGGTTCCAGTCCAGCGTCAGAGTGGTACGAAGACGTCCAACGGACGTTTCCCGTGGTTGACCCGACCACATACAGGCGCAAAAAACTGTCTGCTGCAAACTTTACTTTCTTGGAGCGGCCATCAAATTAAGAGTTTGCTTTCAGGCAGCCAGTTTCACACGAATCTGAGCTGTTCCAAGAACTCTATATGGGTACCCATAAAGAGTTCTTGGCAGTTCGCCTTCGCGTTTGTCACTGACCAACCAAAGTATCTGGCAGGATGTCCTCTGCCGACTGAATGCCCCGCTGTAATGTGACAGCCCCATCACAGAATTGGGTGTACGAAAGAATTCACTCATGCTGCTCTATGTTCGCGCGTGCGTAAACGTGCCCAATGCTCGGCAGAGGTACGGCTGCGGTTGAGATTGACGGTGGCGTCGTTGCATCGGACATCGTCAAAGTTTCTAATATAAATTTGTAAGACCAATAAAATGTCCAGGGAATTTTGTACCCCCGATCAAGGCTGGAGTCTCAAAAACAATGTCAGGACATTAACAGCTTTGCTGTATCTGTAAACGCCAAAAAGGAGCTTTTGTGCCTCAGATATTTTAGCCGGTTCCAAACGTGTGCAACTTTTTCGTGGTGCAACTATATTAAGCACGACAAAGTCTAATTTTTTTAAAACCTCCGCTTAAGAAACGAGCCCAGTTTTTCCGTTGTTCAAGCGTCCGACTGCTGCGATGTAGTATTGTGACAAGCTATATTGTTTTTCTGGTTTTAATGTAGAAGATAACAAAACAACTTACCCAGGGATCTGAAATCTGAATCCATTTTGAACACTTTCCAAGCTAAACCGTACTGTGAACAAGATACAGCAGAATTCACTAGTGTGCCTATTGGCTATTTCTATCTTTCTTTTAGATTATTCGAAGTGATTTGTGAATTATCACTATACTGTTTATTGTTGTTACCTCTGCTTTGTGGGCAACTTTGCTTTGGTATAATTACCGTAAGTCAGTGTAACCAGCGTTAACCCAAAATCCAAATAAGTTATGTGCGACTTTGCCGAACCCATAAATTCATAATTGTAAAATTTCTAACACAACTCAGTATAACGAACGCCATGGAGCGCTCCTGTTTGCTTCGACCAGCACGAAACGCGGAAAACATTTGCAGTACGTCTATTTTTAGAAACACTTAAATGTGTAAATTCGCAGAGTTCGTCACTTCATGATCCTTTCCCAAAAACATATTCAGGTGACATGTGAGGAAACGTATATTAAACTGCAGAGCTGCATAAACGCGCAGTTAAGGAAGATAATTCCTCTAAATGCAGCTGTCAGCATTCACTGCATTCGACGGGACTTAAAGTCTTGTACATTACATCCAGTAATATTACATACCAATAGTGCCACGTCTGACCACTTGAGAATCATTTTCGCGAAAAATGTTCGGCTGCAGTGCGCGCATTCGGCAAGAACTCTGTCAGCATTACCAGTCTCGACGGTTGACGGATGTAAAAAGAAGAAAAAGTGATTGCTGAAAAAATTTGTCGGTGTTTATAAGCGAGGTAATTCTGCATTTCTGCTCAGTATGTAATATCCATTTACGCGGGACGCAAATCGTGGTATTTTAGCGAAAACTTTGATGAGAATTGATTGTTAGCTGCTGTTGTGTTCACCAGAGATTAAAATGGTTGCACCTGTATTATTTTCTGGCATCTTTGGACTGCTGATTTTGGTGACCTTTACAGGGGTGCAGTGCGGGAGCTGGCTATCCAAACAGGATAATTCTGAATATGTATTGGTTATCACTTCGGGTAGGCGGGATAATTTTAATAAATAAATTGATATTTTCTGATAAGCTTGCTCCATTAAGGAAAGACGTCGGTAGCGCTGACATCATGCGGTAAAAATTTGTAACTAGTGCAAAATGATAACATTAGCTACTCGGTTTGTTTGTTTGTAATCTTCACGTTCTGACAGATCAGTAACGAAAAGCCTCAAAGATTCTAAGCGCAAGGATGATAAGGGCGTAACTTTCTTTAATGAATCTGAACTTTGTATTGCAGATACGAGTACAAAAATCAATGACCGCTTCGCGAAGTTGGGAATGGGTGGATACTACTTAGCTCATGCTTACAAGTTTAAATATCGTCGCGATACGGCGATGAAGTACCACGGCATCCTATTCAAGTTTCCGAAGGGCGAAATTGGCACGCTCGCAAAAGTGGTTAAGAAACCTCACGGTCAAAGGTTGGTGCGGATCAGAATAAATCAGATCTTTAATTGATATTGCATCACATATAATTACAAAGGCCATTCGGAAGTAAGTTTCCCTATTCTACCTCCCTGCCATTTAACGGAATATACAAATGAACTTCCTTCTCGTTTCTCTAAATGCATGATTCTTTGCATAAATAAAATGTGCATTTTAAGTGGTCAGCCATGCACATCTGGCACACCAATGCACTTTATGTAATACTAAAAAACCAAAAATGTTTTCTTCAAGTTTTAACTTTTTCACTGTCTAGAAGCAGGGCAGCTTTGTGCTTCTTCGCACTTAGTCATCCCTCGTTAACAGTTTTTATTCTCCCAGAGAAACAGTTGTTTGTCCGCTAATTGATTTTTAGAAGATTAGTTACCTTAGAAGGTTGTAGGTATTATGTGCGTTATAAAAATTAACAGAAAGTGTTAGGAAAACAACAAAAACTTTTTGGCCACGTACTGTTCGACCTCTCGCTAATTGCGCAAAGAAAATTACTACTTGACTAAAGCCGATTGTCCTATCAAAATTCGTGGGAAATTTCGAAAAGTCGGCGATAGTTTTTCCGATGGTTCTTCTCCATCTGTTTGCACTTAAATGAAGTTAAAGGAAGTTAGTTAGTTTAAATCGATTTTAAAACTTCTATAACTGTTTGGATAATAAAAGCTAAAGACGTTTGTGCTAGGGGATACTAAATAAGGAAACTTGCTTTCTAAATGTCTTTGTAGCCGCAGCAGATTTGATGGATAAAATATTAACTCGATATGTTTCTGTAGTAATTTTCAGAACCCCGGGACGCTCGAAGCCTATTTCATCTACAAAAACCTCTCAAGGCTCCCCAGTTATTTTGAACCGAATGTGCAAGAGGTAATTGACCGAGCAAATCAACGTTGGGAGCGAGTCAACACCTCAAACAAGCCGAAAGACATCTCTTTTGATCTATTGTACTCCGATACACCGACCGCACGTTTCCCTGGCCCGATTGTCTTAGATCAGTCTGGTCGGGAGTTGTTCTCGCAATACGCCGACAAAAAGTACTCCGTTCCAAAAATCCCCTCGTCAAAAGGGCAGAAGACGCCTCGTACTAAATAGGCCTCAAATGGGGCAAATCAATTCAGTTCCTGAATGCATCTGTCTACTGTCTTCCCTGCTTTCCTGTCCATGCACCAGTAATTCTAAATTATGTCCCCAGTCCCGGTGATTGAATCTGTGTTTCATAATTAAAAGGTTGTTTCCATGCATCTTTGTTTCATGGATGCTCTTGATTAGATTGATTTTTTGCTTATTAACGCGCATGCCGCTTACATCTTCAGCTTAGAAGATTACTGCGAACTGAGTTTCAAAAAAAGCTTCGGCTTTACCTCTGCGCTTGTTGGATCTGTATTCTGTAGTTTACGGTCGTAGAGCACATCTGAGTTACTGCTCCAGCTTTTGGACTCTCGTTAATTGCGCAGTTAAATCAGTTGTTTGATTCAAGTTGATTGTTTGGAATTTGTATTGATAGGTACCTACAAATACTTGCAGTGATTCAAATTTAATTTTCGTTAGCTTGTTATTACCTACAGGCTACAGTAGAATGTCTTCGGAATCCATCTCTGAAAATTAAGCGATTGCTTAATGTTTTAAAACCAGAAACCGATAACTCAATAGGGAAAAGTCAACTGACTTGAAAATTAATGGCGTAAACCAGTAATTAAACATAAAATAATGATAATTGCGAGTTTCACTCGACACTGACGATGGTAAGCGTTAACGGTAATTAATTTGTAAAAGATCGACCTTAAATTCTTTATTAAATGAATAGTTCAAAAGCACTCTGCTTAACCGCTGTTTTTGACCGGCTACTGCCGAATAAATACGACCAATTAAAACCCCGTAAATTGTCACCAAAGATGACATCAAGAACAAAATTAAAACCAACACTGGTAAAAAAATTAAAAGCAATGGTTTCCATTATACAAATTATTCTTCATCCCCCACTCTAAAGGTAATTAATGAGACACCCACATAAAAATATCCACCCCAACGCAAGTACACTACCAGAAAGAGGAAATGGTACGAGCAGTGTACATTCTGCCGGTTACATGCTTTGTAGTTTGTACGCTCGCCAGTATGTGTAGCCAGTGTAGGGAGCACAAATTTTCGGCTATCCGCTGTGTTTTAAATTGCTTAATGCGGGTACGTGTAATAAAATCGTGATTGCACCAAGATTATACTGTAATTTCTAAAGACCTTTTTAGTGACTGTTCTACTAAGTGAAGAATACTTTATACAGCATGCTTTGCATTGACTGGTGAGGTTCGATAGTCGTACTGACTCGTACACATTAGCCCATTCAGCACGCGACCAAAGAGAGTGTGCAATACGTACTGTACAAACACTGATGCTGTTCAATAATATTATCGATCCAAAGATTTCTTGAAGTGGAACCCGTTCCTTAGACGGGCATAAACTGAAGAGCTTATCATCATCCAGGACTTTTTTGTACGTAAAACAAATTTTTCTCTTAGAATGCAGCTGAGCACGTCGAAGATTATGTTGAATGAGCTGTATTACTCGGGACGGTATGTTAAATTTACAGTGGACGTTGTGCGAGATGACGTGATACAGCGGGGGTATATTACGGATATTGTTGACGGAGGACTCATCATCGACTTCCATCATGAGGGCCCATCAGCAACACAATTAGTTGAATTCTCCTGTATCCGTGCATTACCAACCCAACACTACGCCGCCAAACGTTACCGTAAACCACCACAAATAAACTCGGATGTGGAGGTACTAATCCGAGTCGCAGTGTAAGTCGCTGGGATTTCTATCAGCACGCTGTACTTAATATCACGAGTGTAATAGTGCCTGCAATTTTCTCTCACAGAGATCAACCTCTAACTTGGAAAAAAGCCACCTTCTTGGCACTGTTGCCTGGATATGAGAACAATCATTTCGACATTGAGGGTGACAAATTTGCTTTAGTCCGGCTGCAATCCAGGAATCCATTTTCTTTGGTTGGTGTAATTAATTTGTGGCCGGAATTTGTAGCCAGCGATATACGCATCCGCCAGAAACGACTGTGGCAGACGGTAACGCCGGAGACTTTCTACAAGGTGACCGTGTCGTACGCATCATATTCATGCCACAAGACCGATTGTCCGTTCCCACGGTCTCCTCTTCTGGATTCTGCGAAACAGCTGGACCGCCTGGACGCTGTTATGAAGTGGGTGTGGCTTAATATGACGGGCACGCTGATTTTGTCCGCTGATGATGCCAGTGTCACCGTGCTCTGCCGTCAGAAAGCGAAACGACTACCAAACAAATTCCATCGATTGGTTTTTCACTTATACGACCGGTTTGTGGAGCAATATGTGAAATCAGGTTGGGCTGGATGTACAGTTTTTCTCCACAGGCTACGGAGCATTGCTGCAGGTCGAAATCAGTTAACAAACTACGGTGTTGCTCACCCAGCCTAAACAACTACAGATATAGTTGAAATATTTCAGCGATTCCTGTTACGGCTTTCCATGTTCTATCATTCTTAAACCATCATTTCGTAAAATTGTTAATGTCCATTCTGCACATAATAGCCTTACATGCATTTCGGACTGAAAACAGGGGGTACTTTTCGTATGGAGACCTGGTTCACGAAAACTATCCGAAATCTACTGTTCTTCCCCAATTGGCTGGCCTCGAAATCGAACGTCGTCGGTACGTAAAATTTATTGTACCTGAAAAAATTTTAATCGTCGCAAGCAGTTTCTGCGAGATACTCGAGGACGCTATGGTACAATGGCGGTTTCTTTCTGAATTATGTAAGTCGTACCACAAAAAGTTTGCTTTTCCCTTCAAAAAACACTGGCACAAAAAGACAAATCTGTAGAGCTTGTGTGAGCCGCTTCAATACTTTACTACTGTAAAATCGTATGTAAAATGGAGGGCATAAAATGCGTGCATGTTTATCGCAAATTCGCACGTTTATCTAGCATGCATTGGTGCTTTTTCTAAAAGACTGGTAGCGTGCCAGGTGATCAACGAAGGGAATAACATAGAGCGCAAAGGAACTGCACCGACTTAAGGGTACTTCAGTAAAAAGTTGTACTGAGCAGACATAAAGTCACCAAAAGGAAAGCAAAAAATAGCACTGCTGAAAAACAGTATGACCACACATGTAATTTGCAGGTGCCCTGGTCTCTGCGCGCATATCTCAGGGCCGCCAGGCGTTTCCGGCAGTGCAGACCCTTTCGGATGAAATGCTGCTGGAGGTATTACAGAATATGGACAGAGCAGCCTCGAGAGATCTGAAACGGTAAGTATCTGAAACTGTCATCGTTCGTTTGTGAACGCATTCGTCGTTTCGCTGGCAAACCGTTCGGCGGCCTGTTCAGTTAATCTGTACTTTGATTCATTTTTTGTACAAGCTAATATCCTTTACACTTAGACCCAATAGCTAGAACAACTAAAACAACCCTTCTAACTCTTTTAAACAACCAACACTCAGTTTCTTTTGCACTTTTCGAAATCGTATATCTCCAAATGAGAAACTTAGCGAATGGTTTTCCGGGGGCTTATTGGTGAACAGCCAGCTCTGCCGGAAGGGATATTCAGGCGGGCAGTTTCTTGGGGTGTTTGTAATGAGCAGAAGACAATTTTTCTTATGCGGACCGTATTGCCAGGACAAGGTGGATTTCTAACTCAACGGTTTTTTTTCGGAGAATAGAATAAGTTTTTTTGAAAACAGCCTAGCAAAGCCTGTCGTTCTAAAGTAATAATCCAGCAACACCTTCCGCGCCCAGTAATCAGTCTGGCAAAGTATTCTCGGGAAATTTCACATCCGGTGTTTCACAATTTTGGAAGTGCGAAAAAACAATTCTGGCGAACTTTACGAGTTTTATATCGTCGGACGGTTTTGCCGACCACATACGTTAATTCGTTGTCAACAACCTGCATGTTGCAGTGTCTGCCGGCGATGGTCTAGAATTCATTCAACAGCCACGATGGATCGATGCGTTATTCTGTATTCGCCGGGCCGGCGGCGTGATCACCTGGTATACCTGGTGAATGCAGTGCTGCAGTATACCGCTGTATCGACTCGAACTTTGCTTATGAAGCACTCATCTCCCAGCCACAGCTCCACAACCATTCGATTACTAAAAGAAATGCAGTTGCAGTTAGACCTTTATGTGTCTTACCGCAGTGAAGTGCCTTATAGCAGTCACCTCTGCGAATTTTACGATGAGATGGCGTTGTATCCCGCAGTCAACAATCTGCACATTTTCTGTTCCATGAAATCAAAGAGCGCGGAACGACTTACGTTGGGTATATAATGAAGATTCAGTGAATATACTCGTATTTTCAGCTACACCTATATGTTCTATCACTGATGTTGGACGATTGTCGTAGAAATGATCATGGCTTCACCGGACGAGATAAAATGGCTCTTGAGCATTTTGGGCGGCGGCTGGACATACTGTTGCACAACTCAAAGCATGAGCGACACGCTTAGGGGAATTTCATGTGTGCTGGACGCGCTAAATTGCGAATGTTTATTGCACGGTAAACTATCTGAAGCTGTGGACTACTGCAACTTTAAGCATTGGGACGAAGAAGTATTAAAAGACGGTCTGCAATGTTGGCCTATCAGTCCAGCAACGTTGGAAGTCTTATTGAAGGGATTTGAGGATTACTATCCCTCCAGTGAAACAGCCTTGTATTGCAAGATATCACAGTTCCGCCTAGACCACCTGAAAGTACTGATCCGCAAACCCCGCATGGTGGGAGAAGATTACTTCCGCTCATGCGGCGTTCAGAGCTGGTTTCGATTTACTTGACTTCATAACTTCATACCCCATCTTTCACACAAAGATCTACTTTAAAACTTGAGTGTTGATCGGTGTATGAGCTTTCATGGTATCCTGAATTATTCTTACTCTCAGAATTACTTTTTCATGCCCAGGAAACGAAGGAGTTAGCTTGATCGAAAAAGCCCGTTTCAATGATTGTGTTTTATTGCAGGTGATTTTATTTTACACAGATGATTTATTAATTTTAACCTAATTTAGCAGTGTATGAGTTAATTGAATAAATTAAAGGGAATCCAAAGATTTATTGCCTCTTGCTATTGTATAACTACTGTACAGCAATCACCATTCGAGTAGGCATTTTGACTTCATATGCCGTTATGCACAGCAATGCCGCCAACCGTCGGACTGTGCGGTGCAGAGAATATGTAAGTGTAAGTGTTTGCAGCGCTAAGGCTTACGTCACGTGGAGGATTCCCCCCTGTCACTTTGCATTACATACTTTGTAACTTTGGTCTGTGGCGTAATTCGGTGTAGCATTTCTTGTACGTAATAAAGGGTGTACGTTTCTTTGGGGCGCACGTACTGTACGATGATGTTTCCTTTCAATGGTATCTTACAGCGTAAATCATGATCTTAGGATTTTCTGATTATGTTTTGATTGCTCGTAAAAAGAAAAACTAAACATAATTATGAAAACAGTCTTTAATTCTAAACGTAAGTTTTCTCTCTTGTATACCTTGCACATCAAAGTGGTTTCTTGAAAGAATGCATTATGTGGTATTGTAAAATAATGTTTCAGAAAATAGCTTTACAATACTTATCTGCAATCAGTGCCAGTCATACACAATATCTATAAAAAACAAAATATATGTAAGATGGTTCGATGAGGTGGCGCGCGCATAAATGCCGCGTTTCGACGCATTAAAGGATACCGATTTTAAAATTTCCACGCAGACAGATCACATATTCGGCGCTCTGTAACCCGAAAACAGCATTCACAGTTGTTACTGTAATCCGGATCGCACGTCACTGGCTCTTCACCGGGCCAGTAAGGGCAGTTGCGCATATCTTTACTGGGATCCCAGCGGAGATAGGGAGACTTGTTCTCCGGTTGCGTCGTTGCGTCTTCTGCCAGAAAATCGAAGGTCAATTGCAGTGAAATAATAATATACAGTAGCCTTTCTTAGTGTGCAAACGCTCTCTTACCAAGGGGTCCTGCCGCTGTAAAAGTTGCCAGTATCAACGCTCCGAATATACTCACAAGCATTAAACGAACAGCCATTGTAAATGCTGGTGAACCTGATAAATTAGTAATCAACTTTACGAACAGATAGAGCACTCGCTACAATGCTACGGAGCTTCATCAGAAGTACGAGGATAGATAACAGAAAATTAATGCAGAATTGCTTCACTTAAATTGCAGTGAAATCGTGACACTAAGCACTTTTCGTTCTCACGGTCTCTGCTAACTAGTGATACCGGTAATGCTGACTGCGCTCCTACCGAACTTACGAGCTACAACTGGAGCCGATCATGATTTATGGAAAAATTCTCAAGTGGCCAGACGTGGCTGCGTCGTCAAGGTTGTCAGCGGAATGGAGGAACCTTGTCCGATCGAATGCATCAAACGATGATGGCTGCGTTTCTGACTCAACTGTTTTTAAAGTTTCATCTTGTGTTAATGCAGGTGTACATTTTTGAAGCGAATTAAGAAACGAACTATTTACGCATAGTCTGCAAAGACGAAAATAACTCGCTAAAGTGTTTCTAAATTATATCAAAATACCGTACATCAAGATCTCAGCAGTCTATCATAAAACTTACCCCGGTACGAATTAAGCGGTCGATTAGATATGGAATCCCGGAATAATTCATAATCGATACCTAAATGTTTCATAATCGTGATTATTTCAGACATGTAATATCCAGATTTGATGCAAAAGTACAATTCAATAATATCATAATTCTGACAAGTTGACTCCAAAACTAAACTTTAATTGCTAGAATGCATGAAAGCAATTAAGCGTTTGTAATCAAGTGGTGATATATGAAAGTGACCAACTAACCATATTGCTATTCACTTTTGCAACCTTTCATTTATACATTTCGGACTTGGCCTTCGCCAGAGCCGGCAGACGAGTGACGATACGCCAGATACAAATACATCAGTCAAATTTTACAACTACAAGAACTGCACATTCGGTAAAAGACGTTACATAAATAAGAACCAGCACTGATGAAACTACTTATTTAGTAGTAGTAAATGATTACTCATGAAACATGGGCAACAAAAAAGAGATATGACATTTTATTAAACAGGAAACGGCTACAGAAAGCAGCACCAGCCAATATAGCGAGTTTGATGCGGTTAGGTGCGTAGTGGCCGTCACTGTGTACCACAAATCAAAACCTGAAAGCAAAATTGAACTTATAAAGGAAGTGGAAACTTCTCAGGCTGGAGACCTAAACGGGATACGTACAAGGGAATTTTTGACTTATTCGTAGTGTGAATTGTTCAACACCATGATATTAATAATTTATTGTTAAAATTAATTATGCTTTGTGAGTAATTCATTTTTATTTTACTGCTTTTAATTTGTGTCGTTGCTGGTTTGTCCTCATTCACCAACCACGTATTACTTTGCATTTAGGTTCGTACCATGAGAGGCGCCATGCAACACGCGTGTAAATTTATTTTACCCTGGTACATAACGCAAAAGAAACGGACATAGGTCCATTTTGCTGAACCACTTAATTTTTTAAATTAGCAGAGTTCGCCACTTGAGAATTCTTTCCCAAAAATACGTTCAGGGATCATGTACGCGAATGAAGAATATTTGCTGCGTAGTTGCAAAAACGCATACAGAAGAGTACTTGAGATCTGAACGCGGGTCCGTTCTAAATGCAGGTGGCATCACTTATAGCATTCGACAGGACTAAAATCTCTTCCATTCCAGTAATATTACTAACCAGTTACCAGTACAGTCACTTGAGAATGATTTTCCCGAAAGAATATTCGACTGCAGTGTACGAGCTCGGCAAAAGCGCAGTCAGCATTACCGGTACCAGCGTTGGTTTACGGAGAAAGGAATGGAGAAATTGCTGGATGCCATGACTTTAATAATATATAAGCAAGGGTATTCCGTATTACCGATCGTGATTCAACTCCATTTACTTTTGAGATTGTCATTAGTTCGTAGTGTTTAGCGAAAGCTCTGATTATAATTGATTGTTAGCTTTATACTGTTAACCAGCCATCCCAATGGTTGTCCGTTTGTCGATTTTGGTTCTTTTCTGGACTGATGATGTTGGTGACCTTCACAAAGGTGCGGTGCGGAGGCGTTTTTTCGCGGCCGCAGGCTCCTGACGAACATGTCTTAGTTATCACTTCGGGTAGGTGGAGCGATTCTTTTATCAAAGATTAAGTATGAATATTTTTTGACGATAAAAATAGGGTTTTTTCTCGTACTTGTTGTTCCAAGGACGGACACGGTCACACGAGTATAGCCAACTTCATTAGGTAAAAACTGTGTGAACTGGAATATTTAGAACTAGAACTCGTTTTTTTTCAGTGAGAAATCAATAGGAATTTAATAAGAGAAGTACTGTACGTATACATTCTGATGGTTGTTTTTTCTCAAATGACTGGATCAGTGGTGTAAGACGTGAGTTTTTAGTCGAGGAACCCACATTGCTCTGCTTGACTAGAAATGTTATTAATTTTACAATCGACAGATCCAGTGTAGGTACTTCTATATTGCTTGGATTTTCATTTGGAGTTTATGCTTTTTTATTTGTACTAAAGTATTATTTCCAGCATGCAAAGACGGTTTTAGTTAGACAGCAATGACCTCGGTAAATTTCAGTACAGAGGTTTCGAAATTACCCACAGACGAGCATTTAAAGCAAGTAAAAGGTAAAACAATCAAAGTAAAAAAGACCAGAGCAAACAATGCTAAGCGCGCACGCTAACTACTGAAATCCATGTTATGTCTGCTAGGATAGTCGTCCACCTAGTTATACTGTAAAAGAAAAAATCTCTTGAATGAACCTTATTCTGCAGCTCCCGCATCGCATTTGCAGAACCAGTTCCAGAAAAAAGCGGGATATCGGCTCGCCCCTGTGTACAAGTTTCTCAAGGACCACGACACCTTGCCAGATTACAACGGTTTCTTATTCAAATGCGGAAAGGATAAATTTCCAGAACTAGTTATGACGAAGGAATCCCTAACGAAGACGTATGTACATATGAAAAATAAAGCAATGCCTTATTGGATACTGCATCATATAATCCAAATTCAGCAAACTTCTTAAACTTAATGCTAACATAAATATGTTTTTACAGTCCTCACGTTTCGGAATCTCTACCCGCGGCCTACTATATCCACAAGAGACTGCTGGAGGTTCCACATAGTGTACTTCCTGATCTGCAACAGATGATCGATCGCGCGGATCGGCTGTGGGCGCGTCATCCTAACACTAACTATTTTAATTACAAGATTTTCTATGAAGGCTTACAACAGGAGGAACGTTCTGTCATCAACCTGGACGGCAAAACCGCCGAAAAAGCTTTTGCGGGTTACCTGGAGCCGAATTCCTTTCCGAAGTCCGAAGGAAAGAGAAAATTTCCGAAGTTCTGGACCAATCCTCCTTGTCCAATCTTCTCCCTATACTAACAGACTAGTTTTCTGCACCCATGTTTGGTCGCGGTTTTCATTTAGTGTGGTTGCGGCGATGCCTTCATTTTTCATTTATGGTTATGTCGTCAGACTAAATTTTCATTAATGGTTGAAAGCGCTCAATGAGTTTGAAGCAGTTAGACGGCAATTGATTTCGAACAGCATCGGCAACAAATTTCACAACCGGTAAAATTAGGCCCGCGCTCAAGCTCTGACTCTGACTCAGACTCTGACCGCTCAAACTCTGACTCTGACTACTCAAAGTCTGACTCTGACAGTCTAAACTCTGACTCTGACTCTGACTGAATAACCTAAGAATAACTTAAGAAACCTAAGAAACCTAAGAAACCTAAGAAACCTAAGAATCCTAAGAATCCTAAGAAACCTAAGAAACCTAAGAAATCTAAGAAACCTAAGAAACCTATTAAGAAACCTAAGAAACCTTCAGAGTCAGAGTCAGACTTTGAGCGGTCAGAGTCCGACTTTGAGTAGTCAGAGTCAGAGTTTGAGTGGTCAGAATCAGAGTCAGAGTTGGAGTCTAGGCCGTATAAGGTTCTTCGGATCTATAATTCAACGGTACGCAGTGCCTAACTGCGCACTTTCTTTGATCGCGTGCTGGATTGGCTGGTGTGAGCAACTAACGCTCTCTGTAAATGCTCTCTGTATGTATTTGTGCCACAATTGCTCCAAATGTGGAAACCCCGCGCAGAGGGCCCGCGCTCAAGCTCTAACTTAGACTCTGACCGCTCAAACTCTGACTCTGACTACTCAAAGTCTGACTCTGACTGTCCCAACTCTGACTCTGACTCTGACTGTACAAAGTCTCAATCTGACCTAAGAATAACCTAAGAAACCCAAGAAACTAAGAATTACCTAAAAATAACGTAAGAAACCTAAGAAAAACCCTAAGAAACCTTCAGAATCAGAGACTTTAAGAGGTCAGAGTCAGACTTTGAGTAGTCAGAGTCAGAGTTTGAGTGGTCAGAATCAGAATCAGAGTCAGAGTTGGAGTCTGGGCCACCTTATACGACACCGTATGTGATATATAGTATATATAGGCCGCTCATCCTCTCGCTGGAATCAAACTCGATTGGAAGACAACCATAATGTCAGCAGCAGAATTTTTACACGTGGAAAAAATTTTACCAAATAATGCCTTCAAGAAGGCTAGAGACTCTGCTGGATAAGCTGTACTATTCTAATTTTTATGTTAAATTCACAGTGGACGTGGTGCGCGATGAAGTGATACAGCGGGGATTTGTTACGGATGTTGCTGACGATGGGCTCATCATCGACTTTCATCATGATGGACCGTCGTCAAAGGAACTGCTGGAATTCTCCTGTATCCGCACGCTGCCATCCAAAAAGTATGACGGCTACCGTTACATCCAGCCAACCCAATTGAACTACGAGGTGGAGGTACTCGTTCGAGACGCATTGTAAGTGAATAGGATTTTCTTCATTATTGGAATGAACCCGAATGTATAATGGGGGTTGTGATTTCCGCGGGTAGAGATCAACCTCTGACCTGGAGAAAAGTTATCTTCGTGACGGTGGTGCCTGAAGATGGTGATAGGCGAGCCGAAGAAGAGGGTGGACAATTTACCGTAGTCCGACTGCAGTCTAGGAATCCGTTCTCTTTGGCCATTGTAACTAATCGGAGGCCGCCTTTCATGGCC